CAGCTGGGTATTAATGGCCCCTGCTCAGCCCCAGTTGCCTCACCAGGTGGTCCCCAAGCCAGCTCCCAGGGCTCAGCGGGGCCAAGAAGCCCTGCTCTGCCACATGTCCCAGCCACCTCCAGAGCAGGCCTGGTCCTGGAGCAAACCCAATCTGCCACACGGCCAAGCCAGCCCTGGAGGAACCCTAACCTCCAGAGGAGCTCTGGCCGCCTGAAGGAGCCCTGCTCTGCCACACGGCCCAGCTGCCACAGAGCAGTCCCACTCGACCATGTGGGCTGGCTGCCCCAGGAGCAGCTCAGCCATGCAACCCTGCTGGCCAGGCCATGTGGCTGCCATGGAGCTGGAACCAGGGCCATGGTGACAGCCTCACTGTGGCTCAGCTGAGGCATGGCCTAGCAGAGTGCCATGGCTTGGTAGGCAGGGGGTTGCAGCCTGTCATCAGTCTGCGGACTTGTAGTTGGGAACCACTGCCCCAGAGGTAGTGAACAGAAATAGGTAATCACCAAGTGTTCCTTCTCCTGACATCCATTTCCAGCCCCTGACGAACAGAGGCTAAGGATACCCTTCCTGCCCATTCTGACCAATAAGTATTGATGGACCTAACCTCCATGAATTTATATAGTTCTTTTTTGAAACCTGTTAAAGTCCTGGTCTTCACAACATCATTTGGCAAGGAGTTCCACAAGTTGACTGTATGCTGTGTGAAGAAAAACTTCCTTTTTGTTTGTTTTAGAACTGCTACAGGCCATCTGCGCTATAAGTCACCCAGGTGTATGTCGGTTCCACACTAACATAGATAATTAATTTAGGAACTGCATGGCTGTGTCTACATTGGCATGATTTTGCGCAAAAACAGTTGCTTTTGTGCAAAAACTTGCTGCCTGTCTATACTGGCCGTGAGTTCTTGCGCAAGTACACTGACGTTCTAATGTGTGAAATCAATGTTTCTTGCACAAGAACTATGATGCTCCCGCTCAGGAATAAGCCCTCTTGCACAACTGTTCTTCCACAAGAGGCCAGTGTACACAGGCAACATGAATTTCTTGTGCAAGAAAGCCCTGTGGTCAAAATGGCCATCAGAGCTTTCTTGCGCAAGAGAGCGTCTACACTGGCATGGATGCTCTTGCACAAAAGCACATCTCTTGAGCAAATGCACATGCCAGTGTAGACGTTCTCTTCTGGAAGAGTTTTTGCACAAGTACTCTTCCTCAAAAGAGTTCTTGCACAAGATCATGCCAGTGTAGACCTAGCCTTTTGTTATAAGTCCTCCCATTCTCTGATCTTATGTCTCTCCAAAAAAATGGAAGAATTTGCTCAAATGCAAGTCAGGCGTTTGAACACAAATCAAAGATAGCAGCCAACTCATGTGCTGTAGAGACATGAAGCTGAAGTCTTTGCTAGTGCAGTGCACTCCCCCGCTCCCTCTTAAAGAGACAGAGCTTTTTTGCAGCAGGATTTTTTTTTTTTTGCGCTCAATGAAAAGCGGCACCGAGTCATTTTTGTTGTTGTTGCTTAACAAATCATGGTGGGGCCTTTTTATTTTTTTAGACAACCCTTGGGGTTTCGTGGCCAAATAAAATTGGGAAACATTATGCTAGTGTATTGTAGTGAAAATCCACTTGCTATGAAAAACTATGTGAAATCTTGGCTTCCTGTTATTTGGAAATCCCACAGAAAGGCCTGGATGATCAGGCAGCTTTTCTGTGAATGTTTATGGATTATTTTGTTCCAAAAATGAAAAAGTATTGCAAGGAGAATAATCTTACATTCAAGATTTCCTCATCCTAGACAATGTTAGCATCTATGACCTGGATTTTGAATCCCTCTGTCCTAACATCAAGGTTGTTTTTATGCCACCAAGGATAACCTCACTCAAGAAGCAGATGGACTAGGAGGTTATCACAAACTTCAAAGCCTATTTTTTGTGGAGGACATTCCGCAGACTTCTTTGGGAAACTGATGGAGAAGGAAAACTCACTGTCCAGGAATTTTGGAAGAAATTCAACATCATGGGTGCTGTTATGATCATCAGTGCTGCCTGGCGAGAAGTCTCCAATTGGTTATTGAACAGTGTCTGGAAGAACTTGTACCCTGATGCTGTGCATGACTTCTTAGGCTTTCCGGAAGCCCTCATACATAAGGAAATTGTCCAACTAGCAAAGGAGGCTAGATTTCAGGAAGTCGAAGAGGACAATGTGAAAGAGTTGTTAGAATCTCATTCTTTGACTCTCAATAACAAGGATCTCGCGGAGTTGGATAAACAGCGCCACGAAGAAGATAGTGTTGATGAAGATGAGGATAAAGATAAAGAAGCAGATGCTGGCCTCACAATCCCTGTCCTCTGATGTATATTTGATCTATGTGAGGCGATGATGGATATTCTTAAGGAATGCAACCATCTTGTTGATTGTTCTTCAAGAGCAGCAGCAATCATGACAAGATAGCTTGTCATGTTACAGACAGATTTTAGATGTGAAATTTAAGCACACCAAGCAAACAACACTGGGCACTTTCTTTATTAAAAAGGTAGAAAGGGATCCCAAAGCATTCACAGATGAGCTTCAACCTAGGACTTTCTGGCATTAAAAAGCAGAAAAAAACTCATGCAGCAACCATTGAATAGCCTTGAGAAGTCGTGATGTTGTTTGTTATTGACACTGATGCAGCAGGTGTTGCTGACTTACCAATCATTGAGCTGGTGGATGTTCTGATGTTGAGATGGCTGTTGATCATTCTCTACCTGCTTCCCCATCTTCATCCTCATCCTCATCCTCATCCTCAAACTAATTCTCCATCAGTAACAACAAGCAAAAATATCACCTTCTCAAGGTCAGATTATTTTATTAAAAACTACACTAGGATGTCATAATATCATGTTTAAGTGTTGTTAAAATCAGAATTGTGGCATTTCATAAGTTCTGGAACCTAACCTCTCCTTATTCCATTGATTCTTATGGAATAGAATTCCCCATCTTGTGTCTTTAAGGTGACATAAAGACTGTTCCAAAATGCATTCTCTCCCCCTATTTACATTAATTCTTATGGGGAAAAATTCCCCACTTTATGTTGTTTTGCTATAAGTCCACGTTTTTTGGAATGTATCTTGGATGTATAGCGAGAATATTCTGTACCTCTTAATTTCAAATGGTGACCCCTTCTTCTTAAGTTATGGGAACAAGTAAATATCTTTTCCTTATTCACTTTCTCTATACTTGTCATGATTTCATAGACCTCTATTATATACCCCCTTACTCTCCTCTTTCCTAAACTCAAAAGTCCCAGTCTTTTTAATTTCTCTTCCTATATCTTTGTTGAGATGAGGCAACCACATCTGTATGCAGTATTCAAGATGTGGGCATACCATGCATTTATATAGAGGCAATAACATATTTTCCGTCTTATTCTCTATCCCTCTTTAAATGATTCCTAATATTCTGTTTGCTTTTTTGATTGCTGCTTTTTTGACTGCTGTTTTTAGAGAACTATCCACAGTGACTCCAAGATATCTCTCTTGAGTGGTTATCGCTAAATTAGTCCAATTCATTTAGTATGTGTAGTTGGGATCAGTTTTTCCCATATGCATTACTTTGCATTTATCAACATTAAAATTCATTTGCCATTTTGTTGTCCAATCACCTACTTTTGTAAGATCCTTTTGAAGCTCTTCATAGTCTGCTTTGGTCTTAAATATTCTTGAGCAGTATAGTATAATCTGAAAATTTTGGCACCTCACCGTTTCTGCTACTGCTAGGTCTTGCTGCAGTGGACCAGATCTCAGGTACATGATTAGACTTACAAGTCTTCAGTGTATGCTTCAGAAATAGTTTAGCAATAACAATATCTAGCTCTTACATAGCATGTTTAATTTATAGCTCCCAAAGTACATTATAAAGAAGGTACACATCATTTTCCACATTGAGAAACTGAGGCATAGAGAGGGGAAGTGATTTGCTAAAGGTCACTCAGCCAAAGAGTAACAGAGCTGGCTTGAGGACTCAGAGGACCTGAGGTTAGACTGCATTGCCTTCAATATGATTGCTCATTTATCCCAAATACCCTCTTTCTCAGTAATTTAGCTACCTAGATCAGATCATGACTGTGCACAGTGTTCCTGCCAGTAAATGTACTACAGGACATTCTCTTCAGATAGGTTGATTCTGTTGGTTACATTCCCATAAACTGTCCAGTTACCTTGCGTGGACGTATATCTTTTCAAGATTAAATGTAAATAGAAATTTGTCACCCCATCTGAAAATCGTAACAATGATTTATATATGTAGGATCTTTAATGAATTAGTAACTTATCAGCGCCATGTAATTGATCCAGTTACTTCCTGTTTTCACAGCAATAGTGTTTTCTCTTTGTCTGACTTCTGCAGGATGTCTTCCTTATGGTGCAGTTTTATCTTTTATCTGTTTTGTTTCTCTATCCATCTACTTATCCTGGTCTTCAAATATTTAAATCCAGAATATGGTAGCATACAATAAGAACCGTGAGTCCTATGAGTCATAGATTAATATTTGGATCATAGATGGGCAATGTATTTGTACATTGAGTACCTTTCTGACTGAGATTTTCATTTTTAACCTTTGATTTAAAAAACAGTAATAAGTATCTTATTGTAAATGTAGTGTTGTTGTAGCCATATTGATCACAGGCTATTTGACAAGATGGTACAGTAATGTCTTCTGTTGGACCAACCTCTCTGACTGGTCCAATAAAAGGTATTAATTTGCTTGTCTTGTCTTTTATTGTAAGCTATTTAACTGGATTTTCATGTTTAAATTTACAGTCACATTCAGCATATTAAGGAAAGTGATTAAAACAGTTGGAAACCTTTTAAAAATGTTACCTCCTCTTTCAAAGTATACTTTGGAGAATTTTCAGCTGTGAAGCTCTTTCATTAGACAACTCATTTGATTACATTTCAGATTCCAGTGAATTCACTCCTTGAATGTGACACTGAAGTCTAAAAGTTGTCTCCCTTTTTTCCCATTAGATCCAGAATATATCACACGTCCTCTCAGTGCATTGGTCCTGAATCGCTTCAGCAGTAAGGAGTTGGCTTTCTATCTTCCACTCAAGCAAACACAAGGTATGTGGCTTCTTGATTATATCTTATGTGATTCTTACAAAGTGCCATCTTTTATAGACCTTGAAGTATATAAGAAATTACACTGTGTGTGCATAAACATAAAAGTTTAAAAGTTTGAGAAGTTTGCACTGTGATATGATGTTTGACTCCAGTGATTCTAATAATTGATCCTATATCAGGGAACCAGTGGCCATCTAATTCTACTACATAAGAAAGAATCACATCCATTCCTGATGATGGGGAATGCCAATTGTACAGTGCTTTATGTAACAGAAATAGTCATTCCTTCCTTATCCTTTAACAATCATCTTACACCATGAAGCATAACATTTCATTATCCCATTTTAAAAAGGAAGGCTACCAATAGTGGTTGACACTAAAAGGAAACTAGAGGTCACTGCATTTTTTTTCCTGGTATGTGACTAACTAAAAAAAAGGAGTGTAAGAACCCTTACAAAATAATGTCATATTGTTTATATCTAGCAAGCACTTTTAATGCTTAGGATAAATTCATTTAAGGTAAACCAAGCTGTCTTATATATGACATTTAAGTTACATTTTAACTTGAATATATATTTACATTGAAGTCCGTGAAGATTAGTAACATCATTATACAAAAACATGTGACCTAGCAGGTGGAAAAAGCATCTGTTAGATCTAAGAAAATGTAAATGGAAGGGATTTAAAACAATAAACAAAACAAACAAATAAGAAGACCTCCCAAAACCTGATTAGGATCTCCAATTAGTAAATGAATAGATGTGAGTAGAAAAAACAAAGATCTGTATATCTGAAAAGCAGTACCTTCTTCACGTACATAAAAAGTTATTAGTTGAATGGATTTTTCTTGAAACAACTTATGGTTTCCTTAAAAGAGTGTAAGGGAACAGAAGAAGACATTTCAATAAAAAAGGCCCTTTTCAGAAAAAAAATAGCTTAAAGGGGTCAGTTAGGGAAAATAATATCCAGAAGTAAAATAGTTTAACAATTGAAAGTTTCCCTTATTTTAATGCATGTAAAACTATAGAAAATAGGAAATAGCCATTACAATCATTCAGTTGTATTTATGCATGTATCTTCCTTCTTCCCTTCTTTTTTCCCAGGGGACTTTATCTGCTGAAAGCTATTATTTGCCTATACAGTTTGAAATTTTCAACTATTTCAGAGAAATCTGGAAACCAAAATTTAGACTTCCAGGAAATATCTGAAATATTTACTTTTAAGAATGTGTGCGCCATGTTTTAATTTATACTTATGCCTTCTAATTGATATAAGATCAGAAAATATTTTTTATTTCCCTTACTTTTGTAAATTTTACAAATATGTATATATGAATTATACACAATAGCAACTTGTTTCCTGAATTTGTCCAATAATACAGACCAATCTTAAGGTTAGTTCAGAGTGAATTTATAATTTAAGGAGTTTAAGTAATAATTGCAGGTCTTTCATAATGCGATGGTGTCGTCTTTTGCTCCAATGTTAACATAAAAATTGTCTACCGTCTATAAGAAATGATGGGCAGACTTTTCTTTTTATTCATGTGACTTAAATGCTTTATCGAAACAGAGGAGTTGTTCAGGTCACTTTATCAATTATGCTTTTCAATTTCAAGTTGTACAAGGCTTTTTGTTAGAATGTGAAAATTAATTTTTTGCTCTGGCTGCTGTCTCGTATAGTTATATATGAATGTATGTCTGTTATATAGCCATATACGTTCACATAAATACTCATATGGAATTAAACCAAACAAATTTGCATTTGTAGAAATACAAATTAGTCTGTATCAACTTCATCTGGAAATATTAATAAGGGGTTCTGAACTGGAAGATGAAAATTTGAGATTAACCACTCAGTTTCCTCCAAATTTTGTCACAGATTGGGGTATTTCTTGACATGTATTTTGCTTCCCGTTCTAGCCAGTGGCTATAGGGAAGGAAGTTTCAAGTTAGTTATCTTGGAGGTTTCTGTTATATACTTCTGTACCAGGTGTGGACTGTCTACAGAGCATGTTTATGGACAGCAGATGTGTTCATCCTAAAATCCTTTAATGCTCCCTCAGGTGTGATTAAGGTTAATTTTTCTTCCACGCAGTGTTACCTAGCAGTGTAGTATAATATAGTTTAGCATTCCATTAATCTACGCAGTTCAGTGCAGTATTGACACATTGTACCTGTGTTGGTCCCAGGATATTAGAGACAAGATGGTTGAAGCAATATCTTTCATGCAACTTGGTCCAATAAAAGATTATATCACCCATCTTGTGTCTCCATGGTTCAACAACACGTTTAGAAGATGTGGCAGGAAGCAAGTAGATCACAGAGTAGAGACTGAGCTTTCTTTTTTCCTCCTCTTTCACTTTGATTCTAGGTTTAACCTTTTGGATTTTTGTTTTGTTTTTACAGACCTATCTAAAAATCTGCAGAATCAAACAGAATAAATTTTGAACATTGGCCCTTCCTCCTCTTTCTGTGCCTTTAACTTTGTACATGTAAATATATACATCAATATATTTGCAAATCAGACATATCATTTACTCATCCAAAACTGCAAGCAAAAACCAAAAGCAAGCATTGATTGAGGGAGGCTCCTTTCAAAATCAGCCTTTTCAATTCTGAGAACAGAACTTTACAGAGACTTTATTAGGAAAATATGTCATCTTACCTCATCTTTTCTTACCACAATAAGGCTATGTCTAAACTACATCTCGTCGAAAGAGAGATGTAAATTAGGCAAATCGAAAGTGCAAATGAAGCAGGGATTTAAATGCCCCGTGCTTCATTTGCATAATTGTGTTGCAGTGCTTTTTCGAAAAAAGGAATTTTGAAAGTGAAAGTGCTGTTTAGAAATGGTTCTTTAAAAAAACCCCTTTTTCGAAAGATCCCGTACTCCTCTATTTTTTGAGGAGTACGGGATCTTTCAAAAAAGTTTTTTTTTTCCCAAAAGAACCACATCTAGACGGCGCTTTCACTTTCAAAATACCCTTCCATTTTGCGATTATGCAAATGAAGCGTGGGATATTTAATTCCCCACTTCATTTGCACTTTTGATTTGCCTAATATACTTCCCTCTTTCGACAGAGGAATGTAGTTTAGACATAGCCTAAGGCGGTGTCTACATTGACGCGATCTTTCTGCCTGTCTACACTGGCCACGAGTTCTTACACAAGTAAACTGACGTTCTAACGTATGAAATCAGTGCTTCTTGCGCAAGAACTCTGACTCTCCCACTCAGGAAAAAACCCTCTTGTGCAACTGTTCTTGCTCAAGAGGCCAGTGTAGACAGGCAGCCAAAAGATTTTGCGCAAGAACCAGCCAAACGAAAAAAAACCCTAGTGGCCGCCTGGATGCTCTGTACGCACACTCTCAGCTCTGAACTTCCTGATAACCCGATAAGCACCTCTGCCACCCAGCTCTTCCACGTGGCTCTGCTCTCTCCAAACAGCCACCAGACCACCCAGGATGGCCGCTCCGGAGGGAGGAGGTGGGGGACAACAACCTGCACCCCCAGCGCAGGAGGCCCCAAGGGGCACAAAGTGGCGTGCCCCTTCCTGGTCCCCAGGGGAGAGGGAGAGGGACACGGACATCTTCCGCCGAATGGCCCAGGTGCTCTCCGGCCAGGGTCATCCAGCCCGGACCCTCAAACAGGTCCGGGCTAAGGTCAAGGAGCTGCGCCTTGGCTATGTCTGGGCCAGCAAGGGCCAGGGGGCAGGAGCCAACAGCTGCCCCCATTACCAGCGGCTTCACACCATCCTGGGAGAGGCAGCACCCTAGGGACCATCAGTGCCAGTGGACACAAACAGGTGCCCCCCCATCACCAGGCCCAGCAAGGCGGTGAATGAGGAAGAGCTGCCCAGTGGGTCAGAGGAGGAGGAGGACCCAGGGGAGCTGTTTGACCCTCCAGCTGGAGGCCCTCTCAGGCAGCCCGGACGTCTCCTGTGCATCATCGGAGGCCGGGGAAGGATCCACTAGTGAGTGTTGCACTTTGCACTCACAAGGGCGGGGGGAAGCCAGGTGCCCAAGGGGGAGGGAGCGTCACTCAGGCAGCATGAGCTGCACGCTATGTACCATACCAGTATGCAGCATGTGCAACCACATGCAGCCTGGTGACCGAGTGGCATGTGGCCGTGGCAGGCAGCTCCAGGGCACGCCTGGGACCGTGCTGCTCATACACATCCGGACCAGGGGAGAAGGGTGGATGCCGGCTGGAACCAGCCAAGGCCCCAGGGGCTCAGGCCAGAGCCTACACCTCCTCCAGAGTGCAGCACACAGAGCAACAGCACACTGTTCCGTGCCTGGCTGTGTGGCACAGCCAGCTGCTCCTGGGAAAACTGCAGCTACACACCCACTGAGCCCCTCACCTGCTCCTAGTGCCTTGGCTGGCCCCCTGAGAGAAGTCCCCACCGTGGCCACACATGTCCAGCCAGCTGCTATTGGGTACATCGCAGCCCTGTGAACGTGGCCCCCACTGAGCCCCTCGCCTGCTCCCAGTGCCTTGGCTGGCCCCCCGAGGAAAGTCCCCACTGTGGCCACACACGTCCCTGGGCTACGTGTGTGAGGGCTAGCGGGAGGGGGAGGGGGAAGTGCTCGGGCTGGCCCTAGGGACACCTGAGTTTTGCTGCAAGGATGGGACACTCCCCAGTCATCCTTGGTTCCATCCAGGAGACATCCATGTGATGGGGATCTGAGAGGCCAGACCACATCTGCCATATGTGCTCCCAGGCACGGTGTGGTGATTCATTTTGCTCCCTGTCAAACACCACTGATTAGCCCAAAGCCTCACAGCCTTCCCGGCAGGGAGTTACACAGGTTAACACAACACATGCCTGCCGCCTCTCCCCCCCCCCCCGCCACCCTGTCCCCCAGGGGCCAGGACACAGGCTGGTGGTTACAATACATGGAGAAGCACCCTACTCTGGGGGCGGTCCTGTATGCAAACATACAACATGGGGGGGGGAACAAGTGGACCTAAGCCACAGTACTGTGGTGTCAGCTGGGCTC